CTTGCCAGGCCCTGCTCAACTTCGCACCTTGGGGGAAGGAGGAAGGGAGAAGAGGTCCCCTAGCTAGGGGAGGTGGAGGAGACCAGAGGGGCTACCACATCATAGCAACGCGTTACCTGGCAGGCTTAGAAAGCTACGACCGCCCCTTAGACTCTTGGACTCCGTACCTATGCCCCCAACAAGCGAGGCTGAACAGCCATCACTTCCTGCCAACTGGTTCGGTGCCCAGAAGCGCGGTTCGGTTCGGTTCGGTTCGGTCCGGCCCTGGGTCCTTAGTCCTGCACTCCTTCCTTCCTACCATTCCCTTTGCCTGCTATGATTTTCCTGGGGCTGGAGCCATGGAGAGACCACCCAACCCATCCCCTCTGCAGCACCCTGCAGTTAATTCTCTATCTCTGACGTTGATCTTGATCTTCAGGGTTGGGCCCAGAGCACGGACCCAAGACTGCAGCCCCTTCCCATCAGCAAGAAATGGGAAACTGAGGCTGGGAGGGGCACATGTCTTGCCCAAGGCTACACAGCCTGGTGGCATATGGATGACCTCAAGAATCAGTGGTCTTGCCAACTCTCCAGCCCTGCTCTACCCACCCACCCAGAGCTTCTGGAGGTGGAGGACTTCAGTACCATCTCAGATTCCTGGTCTCAAAGACGGTTTCCTCATCACTGTCCAGCGAGGCCATGTCAGTGGGGTCCTCAGTGTTAGCCAGGAGGCCATAGCTCCTCCGCTGTGGTTTCTTCAACCTGCAAGCAGTCCCAGGCAGATCAGTGGTTGTCTCGGGTCACCTCCAGTGGCAGCCGATACCCCAACCTGCTTCCTGCCTTCCCCATTATCCTGTGTTGTCTCTGCTCTCTGCCTCCTCTGCCCGACCCTCAAAGCTTTGCTGTGAAGCTTCCTGGACTAATTTTGTTTCTTCGGCCTCACAACAGTCACGGTGCTTAGTTGCTCTTATGTCAATAATGGCAAGTGGATACCTCCTTTAGCAGACTCCCTCCAGGGCTGTGCTGTTATCCTACTCTACTGATGAGAAAACCGAGTCTCAGAGGGGGTGAGGGTGTACCAGAGACACTGAACTGAGGACTATCTGTCTCAGGCCAAAGCGCCCGCCCCTGATCACTACCAGGGCACCAGGGAAAGGAAGGGGGCCTTCTGAAGCGGATGCAAGACCAAGTACTTAGAGGGAACAAGAGCACTGTGCACCCACAGGAGTGTCGGTAGGGGACAAAAAGGGCCCCTTTAAAGCGTCTGAACATGTTCAGCTCTGTGTGACAAAAGCCCTCTGGAGGTCAACCACAGACAGGAAGTAAACAGGGAAGCCAGGGGACTGAGCCAGAACTTCGCAGGGCATGTGAACCATGGGAAGGAAGAGGAGTCCTCAACTCTCTAGGAAGAACATCAGTGGAACCAAAAAACTGATCGCAGCCAGCCCCAATGCTGAAAGAGTCGGAGAAAGAAGGCGCGGTTCGGTTCGGTTCGGTCAGGCCCTGCCTGGGGGGCCCTCCTCTCCATTTCTAGGGTGGGGGACGTCGTGGATCACAGACCCAGGTTGGGCTGGGGGGTGTCGCCTGGCACGGGCTACAGAGCAGAAGCATAAACCGGGCGCGTGCCCTCCCCCACCCGCACTGTCCAGCCTGGGTTGCTGTGTTCGAGAAACCCGCTCCTGTGCCCCTGCATTACCAAGCACCACGGTGTCACATGACTGCCTATCACCCTCGATCGGGAGGATGCGCTGTTCACGCCCACTGGGGGGGGGCGGGGCGCTCGCCCTTGACACGTGAGGCACAAGGCGCGAGCTCATTGGCACGCCAGGCAGGCCGGCATGCGCCTGACATACCTACAGGCCCGGATGAGGAAGTAGAGCACTGCCAGGCTGAGGAAGCCAGAAAGCACGTAGAAGGAGCGCAGCAGCATCGGGCCTGACGAGCCCTTTGGCCAGGGATGCGTGCCGTTGTGAGGCGCGCCTGGCTGGCTCCCGTTCGTCACGGCCTGCGGTGGCGAGAGCGTAGTCTGTGTGAGGCGTGGCGATGAGGAAGCGGCCCCCTGGGTTCCGAAAAACAGCACTGACAGCAGCAACGTTGGCAGGAGCGACCGCGGCGGCAGCACGTACAGCCCCATGGCTCTGCGGAAGTGGTGGCTGCACCCCGCCCCTGCAAGCCCTCCGTCACTCACCCGGCAAGGGGCGGTGCCAACCAATGGCCCGCGGGGGCGGAGCTCGGCGCTGGAGGGGGCGGAAGGCCCCGCCCCTTAGACGCTAACCCCGCTTCACCTCTAGCTGTCCCACAGGGCTCTGCACCCGGCCAGCTGTTCACTAACCTAGGGCTTGGCTGGCGCCCTATGCCTGAGACTCAGTTCCTTCTGGCCCAGAGCACAATGGCTATAACCAACCGGAATGCCCAGTTCAGGGGACAAGTCAGAAAAGCTGGGTGACCAGAGAGTGGGCTACAGGCCACAAGGGAGCCAACACCCTCACAAGAAGGTTCCCAATTGCATAGCGGAGTCAGACTAGGGAAAGGCCATGCTAACTTCAGCACAGTACCCTTGGGGCTCTGGGGGCTCTTGCTGTTCTGGTCCCCAGCCCGGCTCTACAACTTCAGGATAGGCCCTCCTGAAGGGCAGGACTGCCTGCTCTAGTCTGGGCATCCTGTCCTCAACTGTAGTGAAGGGCACCTCCGCCATCCTGACCACACTGAATTGACCCCCAATGCTGCCACCACCCTCCCCACCCTGTTATGAGTTGAGCGCACAGACCCAAGGCCTCAGAATCAGGGCCCGACCCCAACTCTCTGCACCCCCAAGACCAGAGCAGGAAGTCACCAGCTCAGGAAGCAAGCTTGGCCCGACGGGCAAGCACAGATGAAGATGTTTAAGTTCATTCTGTGCCAATACCTTTGCCAGGGCCCTGGCTAGGTAGCTCAGTTGGTTAGAGCATTGTCCCTATACGCCAAGGTTTTGGGTTCAATCCCGGGTCAGGGGACATACAATGAATGCATAAGTGGAACAACAAATCAATGTGTCACCTCCCACCCCCCACCCCCAATATCAATAAAAAGCTGTACTTTAAAAAACAAAAAAACCTTTGCCAGGGTCCTGAGAGAAACAGGTGCACATCTCAGATGAGGGAGCACAGGGACCACCACCTCCTCCACTTAGGCTGAGTGTGCCTCCAGACCAACCAAGACGACAATGAAGTGACTGGCTGGTCTGTTTGGTTTGAGTACAGCTAGTGCCCTGAACAAGGCCAGAAGAGGCTTTCTCTAGAGGAGCCCCACTTCCCACCCAGCCTCCACCTGAGGCTCAGGGACCCACCCTCCTCGGTCGCACCCCAAACCAGACTCAGATTTCTAGGTAGACACACCAGTCCTTTATTCAAATCTGACTTCCACATTCTGTCACACTGTTGCAGGTGAGGACTGGCCACGTGCAGGCTGCCACACACCGGTCCTCCTGAGTGACTTGAAACCCTGCACTCCAACCTTGCCAATAAAACACCTGCTGGAAAAATGAAGAAGGAGTGAAGGGAGAACTAAAGCTGGCTCCAGCAGGAGGCACACACAGAAAGCTGCCCCCACCCATGCTGTAGGTGGGACAGGAAACCAGAGAGAACCCACAAGGACCAGGCATTGTCAAGGCCAAAGGACCATGTGTCACCCCCCAGAAAAGCACTTACAGATGACAAGCTGAGAGAGCAGGGGGCTGGGCATCTGGTTCCTGCTCCGAGGTGAAGTCCCTCATGGGACAGGACCCCAGGTCATCACTGTTCTTGGGCCACCCTTCCAAGTTGCACTGGCTTCCCTTCAACCTGCCAAAGCAAAGGAGTGTTACCCCTAGGGTTTTGGACATTCTCATAGCTGCTTCCCACCTCCCCCTAAACCATCCACAGCTCCTAGGAGGGTCTTAAGCTAGTCATTGGGCCATCCTGGCAGAGGCCCTGTCACGGGCTGGTGTGACCAGAGCAAGCCTAAGCCTTGGCCAGGCAGCATTCCATCCCTAAGCAGAGCCAGCTACCCACTTGGGATGGAGCTGCTTAGAATGGTGTGGGCTCTAGGAAAAAAAACTCATGGAGGCAACAGACATCAGAGAGCTATAGTTAGGAATATGAGTTAAGGAGGTCTGGAAAAGACTGTCAACTGATGAACAAAAAATCCGAAGGCAGGATGTTCAGTGCTCTCTAATCCTGCTTACAGATGGAACCTACTCGTGAGGTGAAACTTCCTGGGCTGCTCGCCTGGCTGCAGGCAGGGAAGGGCTAAACAGCCGGGGTCTGACTTTAATTCTAGCTTGACTTTTTTTTAAAAAAAAGAAAGAAAATGGGAAAACAACAACAAAAAAACAGTCATAAAAATATTCCCCAGGCACATAATTTTACTTTCAAATGAGCTCTTGACAAGAGGAGGGATGTGGACACGAGCAAAAGGAGTTACCTCGAATTACAGGGCTATTTCCACATATGAGCTAGCCAAGGGAGCAGCTTGCGTCTCAGAGGTTTCTGTTGGGCGCACAACACTTCTGTCCTCCGAGGGGCTGCAGCTTCCATAGGCTAGCGGAGAACTCTCAGAACTTGTGAAGCAACAGCAGAGCTAGCTAATGAGCAGTCAGTCTGCGGTCGCCCAGGGACACTGCCTGCTGTCTGCTCTCTGGCCTGCTTCTAGGCTAAGGCAGTCGGGTCAACGTCAGGTGCCCGCGTGGGTCCAGTCATTGCTGCACTGCCCGCCCCATTGAGCCCTCCGGCTGCCACTGCCAGAAGCCTCCCAGGGGCTGCCTCGACGTCCAACCTACCCATTCCCGTCAGCCACCTGCTCACCTAACCAGGACTGGTGGCAGTCGGCTGTCACCAGGGGCCCGCCAGTGTCAGTTTACTCTGCCTTCCTGGTCTAGCTCTCCATGGGCCTCAGGCAGGACTCGCAGACCTGCTTCTCAAATTGCCCTCTCTGCTGAGTTCTGAGTGCCAAGAGCTCGCAGCAGGAGTGTGTTGAGCAATGAAAGGGAAATTGTCAGAGCGAGGTTCATTTCAGATGGTTTTTTAATCTGCTTCGTAAAGCCAAAAAAAAAAACTGTGTACAAGAATTCCTTAACCACTTCAAATACAACATCAATGGGATATGCATACGTCTTCCAGTAAAAAAGGACAATATAAATAAACATTTTCAAGAACCTCTTGGGGACATCTCCAAGTCTACTGTAAGTCATACACAGCAGATGGGCCGTACAGGCCGGGCCCAAGTGGCAAGGCACCTCTGCTGCCACCTGGGACCTGGGACAGGTCCTACCATGCTACACTCAGAAACGGTACATTAAGGTGGAAAAAAGCCACAGCTCCCTCAGCTTCCAACAGAGAGCAGACTCAGAGTCCGTCCAATCTCAAAGAGGTTTGAATCGGAGGACCCAACTTCAACAGGCCAACCCCACTAAAAAGAGAAGTAAAAAAGACAACACAACCAAAAACAAAAAAACCCACACAACCCCCGATGATTTTCTAAAAAACTCATGGCTCATGGTAAAAAGAAAAAAGTAAAATCTGAAGTGCTTTTCAAAAACGTTTTTAAAACCCTTAAAAACGGACAGTGTTTCCTTAAAAAGTAAAGTCTAGTATTGAAGCCATCTCGGGGGTCAGAAGCAGTCAGGCTGTGTTTGACAAGATCAGAACTGATTAGACTACAAAAGTGGGTACAAGGAGGTGTGTTCACTACACATTAACGATTCAGCGAAGCTCCCAAAATCTTTAAATATACAGCCATTGGAAGGACGATCTTGAGCAGGAAGGATTTTTACTCGTTGTGTGTAGCTGAGAACAAGAAGCAGGTACAGTGTAAAAGCACTGAAGCACGCAACAAGAGGCAGCATTCCACTCCCGGGTCCAGATCTGGAGGGCTCGGCCCTGCAGCCTCGGGAGCAACCAACCCCCCCCACAGCCAAGGGCGGCGGGGCCGGGTGGCCGCACATGCAGTTATGCTGCCTGCTTGGCAGGCCCCTCGTCTCCCTTTCCTTCTTGGTCAGTCTGGTCTAGCTTTTATGTTTTGTTGTAGAAATGGCTGCTGGCATGGAGACCTGAGAGGGCAATCTCATCCCTTATGGGCAAGCACAGTGACAAGGTCTGAGTGTCGCTCATAGAGGGTGCTGAGGCTTGCTGAGCTCCCACCACAGGCCCTCAGAGCGTGACTTACCATAACTGTCGTAGCTGTCTCTATAGGACCCTCCAGAGCTCCGGTCACCATAGCCACCACCCTGACTCCGGCTGTAGGAAGGACACATGTGGGTGCTGGAAGGCAGCTTAGTGTACTCACCCCAACCCTGTGCCAGCGTCCCATCACAAGCCTGCCACACGCCCAGGCAGGACTAGGCCCTCACCTGCTGTAGTAGTCTCTGGAGCCCCCATAGCCTCCACTTCTGGACTCGAACCGGCTCCCCCCATAGCCTCGGTCCCCTCCTCCTACAGACAGGGACAGGAAAGACGAGTGAGTGCCAGCTCCTTCCAGCAGTGCCCCCATCATGTCCTCAAGGGCCTCAGGCCCCAAGAGTGGCACTCACCTCTGGAGAAACCACGGCCCCGGCCTCGGCCCCCACGGAAGAAGCCCCGGCCCCCAGCAGAGCCACCTCGGTACCCACGGGATCGGTTATCAGATGACTTGCCAGCCTGGTCAACTCGAATCTGTCGCCCGTCCACAGACTGTGAAGACCAAGAGGTTGGCTCAGGTCAACCTCTGAGCCTCCCTGCCCCGAAAGCCTGAACCCTTTCACCCCCAGACAGCTGCGCCTCACCTTCCCATTCATGGCCATCATTGCATCTTTGGCATCGTCGATGTTCTCAAAGGTGACAAACCCAAAGCCCCGTGACCGCTGGGTCTCCCTGTCTTTCACGACCACCACTGTGGAGGGAGAAGTCTGCAGTCAGCACTTAACCTCCCCAAAAGCAGCCCTGATCAGCCGCTGCCAGTCCAGCACCGCCTCACCTTCAGAAATCTGTCCATATTTTGAGAAGACCTGCTCCAGCGACTGCTCATTGGTGTCAAAACTCAACCCTCCAACGAAGAGCTTGCCTTCATCTGATGCCATGGTGGCCTGTGGCAAATCGTTGAAATCCTCACTGAGATCCTCCAGGGCTTCATCGCTCACCCCTCCCTCCTATTTTACTTTATACAAATGACATATGCTTGTTGGGGACACATTGAAAAATTATCTTTCCGCCATTTATCACCCCAAGCCCACACCCAGAACTTAATTTTAAAAAGCTGTTAATTCCTTCATCACCCAGGGCCCCGTCCCCACTCAGGTCTCCCTGAGAGCGGGCCCGGTTTTGCATACTCCTCAGTGAAGCACTGTGGACCCCAGGTGATGCCCTCAGGAGATATTTAGGGCTGGGCACTAAAGGCAGGCAGGTATCTGCCTCCCTCGTCACCCATCGAGTGCACCTTGGTTCTCCCCTTTACAAACAGACGCCTAACTCCTAACAGGACCATCGGGGTGCGGGATGGCAAAGTGCTTGGTCCACCACAGGGCGCCTGTGGGTGGCCGGGTACTGGACCTCTGTAGGGAGCTGGGCATAGTCCCGATGCGGGGGGCTCCAACGTGAAGGGGGCAAGTGGGCCGGTGTTGACTTGGTCCGACCCTTCCCAGACTGGGAAAACCTCTGCCACGTCTCTAGAACCACACAACTCGAAGCCCAACTTGGGGTGCCAAAAGGAGAGTGGGACACGGGGACGAAGGCTGTACTCCCCTAGTGCAAATCCAATGGGAAACCGGGGAAGCGGGAGCCTGGACCGCCCCCAGGTCCGCCCGGGCCGCACGCATGCGTCCTGCGCGCGCCCTGCGCCACTCCATCCGGGCACTCGGCGCTCCCGCCATTTCACGGGGCGCAGCCTCGCGCTCGCAGCCGCCATTTTGCGGTGGCGCCCCGCTTTGGGCGAGCCTAGGCCTCTAAGGGGACGCCCTCAAGCTGCGGCTCGGCCCGGTCTACGGCTGCCCCTCGCCGCCGGCGGGGCGGACTCCACCCTGGGCCCGCCCAGGCACCACCCCTACCCAGGGGCGTGCCACCGCCGCCCTGCCTCATCCGGCCGGCCCCAGGCCGCCCGCCGCCCGGGGCCCTCGGAGCCGGTGCCGCCAGGACCCTCACCACTGAGTAGGGCAGGTCCCTGACGCAGGCAGGAAGACGACGGTGCGAAACGACCAGAGCCTCCTAACGTGCGAGTGAGGGGGGTAACCGGGCGCCCGGCCTTATGTACGCCGCCTCCTGGCTCCGCCCCCAGGTGCCACCCCCTACTCCGCGTTGGCCAATCCCAGGCCCCATAGGCAGCGGCCGTACCTCATATTCATGAGCTGTGGGCTGGGCTCGCCTAGGCCACGCCCCCTTCCGCGCGCTAGCGACGGGCAACGTGATTGGTGGGGACGCGTACATCCGCGTCCCCCGCCACCTGCGAGCGGGGGGCGGGGCCGGCGGGCAGCGGGGCGGGGTCGACCCACTTCCGCGGGCCCGCTCTGGGTCTAGAACAAAGGGCCCTCCAGCCGCAGTTGCCAGAGGCTGGAGCCCCAGAGAACGCTGATGGTTGCCGTGAATCGCGGACATACCGACCTCACTCAGGTTCCCATAAACACCGAAGCCCAGTTCTTTTTTTAAAATATATTTTATTGAATTTTTACAGAGAGGAAGGGAAAGGAATAGAGAGTTAGAAACATCAATGGGAGAGAAACATCGATCAGCTGCCTCCTGCACACCTCCTACTGGGGATGTGCCCGCAACCAAGGTATATGCCCTTGACCGGAATCGAACCTGGGACCTTTCAGTCCACAGGCGGATGCTCTATCCACTGAGCAAGACCAGTTAGGGCCTGAGGCCCAGTTCTGACACCCAATTTCATCTGAACCCTGACAACAGTTCACATAACCAACACCCACGCAGTTCCAGGGCTCAAAGCTCCTGAATACACCAGTTCACGTGATATGCTGCAAACCCCACCAAAACCCCACTACTGAGACAAGCTCATTTATATGGGCCCCAATATTCACCACCATTCCAATTCTTCCTACTTCCCAACTTTGGGGCACCCCAACTTTACCCAACCAAGTTTGTCTACAAATCCCGACCCCTACCCACACCTAACTCCCATCCAATCCTGGCTTCACCTCACCCACACCCCAATACTCACCTGGCCATATACTTTTGTGCATCCCAGCTCTCGACCACAGGCTGACCCCCACCTTGCCTCTCAAGCCCACAACTGGGCCGTCCTGGAGTCTTCACTGTAGACCTACGTTCAGCTCAGCCCTGGCTTCCCCTCCACCAGGTGCTCCAGCACCCCTGCCTCAGCAAACCCAGAACCCACTCACTACCCATGGGGGCGCCGGTGCCACTCTGCTCCTCCTCCTGTGTCGTTTTTCCTGTCTTTTAAAGGTGTCCCAAGATCTCTGCTATCAGGAGAACCATCTTTACAGAGATCCTTACACCTTGGAAAGCCCCTCGGGGCAGAGGAAGTTAGTGCAGAACCTTGCCTGCCAGACCAAAGATCCTAGTTCCAGTCCCACTCTAGACCTCTCAGGTGGGTCTAGCTGATGCAGCAGGGACCTGCCTGGGCACAGACACTGTCTCCTGTGATACACAGTCTTGGGAACCTCTCTCCCAGGTACCAGTTCATGACTCATCGTGGTCCCCTCTGCAGCTTGTCCCCCCACGCCACATCCCCTCTACATTACTCCCAGTCAGCAGCAGCCTACTGCTGTGTCAGCCACTTATGCAAGGTGGTTATTAAAAGGAGCAAAGAAAGATAACAGCACTCAGCTCCTTTTCCTGCTGGCCGCCTGTGGGGAATCTGAGGCCAGGGTTCCCTAGCCCGGGAGCAATTCCTGCTCACCCTTTCTGATCTGCTTCCCCAGAAAAGTCAGGTTGGACGTTTCCTTGTCCCGGCTCAGACCAGGGGTTCCCAGGACCACTGTGCCCTGATCACCCTCTGCTCCTCCCCCTTCCGCTTTGTCCCACTTTCTGTGGTTCAGAGTTGCCCTGGTTTTTGAAGTGTCCTGTTCATTCATTCATTCCACCAGCACACCATTATTAAGCGTTTAGGGGCTGCACACCTGCGGATACCGGTCACTAGGTGCACCGGGCATTGTGTGGGAATTGTGTACTTGCGTCACAGGTGTGTAACCTGTCTCCGTACCTGTTTCTGTGGTAACCTGTGTCTGCTTGTTCCTGTGACTCGGTGCGTAATCAGAACAGTGTGTCTTCCGTGGGGTGCTCTCAGGGGGCTGCAGCCTTTGCGTCACGCTCACCCCGCGGACACTAGGGGGCGCTGCGGCCTAGCTGTCACCTTGACCCGGGTCCCGCCACGCAGTCTGGCTGCCCGCCTCGTGTTTCAGCGTGGGAGAGGGTCCCGTCTCGCCCCACGCCTCAGCCCGAGCCAGGAGGGGTGTGTGGCCGGGGAGGAGGTGGCTCAAAATAGCCGCGGGCGGGGGCGAGGCTGCTATTTGTGGCCGGGAACGCGCGGTGCTCGCCGCCTGCCTGGCGGGGATGGAGGATTAGGCCGGGAGGACCCGGTCGGCTCATTCACAAATAGCCCCTCCCCAGAGGGCAACCGTGGAGGGGGCGCCGGCCTCCTGAATCACCCAACTTTGGTCCCCGGGCTGGGTTCTCCACGCTCCTCCCCGGCGTCGCCAAGGAGACGGGGGTGTGGCCGCTGAGCTCTCGCGCCGCCCCCTCCGCCCCCTCCGCCCTCTCCGCAGTGCCCCACCCGCGGGTTGCCGGGTCCTACCCCCACCCAAGCTAATGAACAGGCGGAAGGCTCTATTGAGGGTCTGGGGCCAGGACCGGAGTGGCTGGGATGAAAGACGCTTGTATTTGGAAGAGCCGGGTACCGCGTAATAACCGCCCCCTCCTAGCCTGCCAGGCGGGGGCCGGTCGGTGCACCTGGCGGCTGCCGAGCGGGGGCGCAGAAGCGGGATGGTCCTGGCCCAAGTCCGTGGGGTCCAGAGCCAGGGTGGCGGAAGCGGAGACTGAATGTGTGCGGGAGTTGCCAGGTGTGGTGCACATGTGTGCCCGTGGGCAGTGGACTCGTGGGTACAGAAACAGAGAAACAAGGATTTCAGGGGACGCTTGTGTGGACACGAAAATGGGGCTATGCGCGTGTGCACACGGGATGGCTGTGTGTGCATGGAACTCATGTGTGCAAACACGTGGAGGTGTGTGTGATCACATATGAAAACATGCTTGCATGGCACACCCCATGTGAAAGATCACGGGGGAGGAGGGTTGTGTGCAATACGGATGTGGATGTGGGAAAGCCAGAGACAGGGCTGGGTATACATGACTCTCATGGGCTGGGGCTCACAAAGCATATGTGTCCATAGCTGGTAGCATGAGTTATGTCCCTGGGATGGGCACACAAGCTGTGCATCAGCAGCGGCCAGGGTCTCTTTGGGCAGAGGAGAGACACAGGAGGCCAGGGCCAGGAGGAGGAAGAGTTAAACTGCTCTCCACCCAGTTCAGACCTGCAGGACGAGGTGGGGGCTTCTGATCCTAGCAGGCTCCAGGTGGCTGCCAACTGTGAACACAAGAGATTTAGCTGTCTCCAGCTGGGCTCAGTTTCTCTCCTGTTTTCTAGGACGGGGTATTCCACGTGGAGGGAGATGCACAGGGCAGGGGGACACCTGGGAGAGCTGCCTGTGACTCACCGCCCAGGACTGCGGAGGCTGATTCTTCTGCACCTGCGCAGGCCCCCATCCCAGAGTGTAAATGCCAGGCCGTGACCCCAGTCCCCACAAACTGCATGCACCCTGTGATGGGCTGCAGAATGGGACCCCAAGGGATTCAAGGAGACACAGATCTTGTATATTCGCCCCCACCTGCACCTGGGTAGAAGGCCTGTGGGAGCCACAAGCCTGACTCTTCTGTCACACACATGTTTGCTCTTTCCCCATTTCATGATGCTCCAGAGACCTGGATGGTGGTCCCTTCTGCTGAGGGAAACTGAGGCACAAGCAGGATGGTAAAGGCAGTGATGAGCAAGCACACACCAAAAGCATGCATTCAGGCAGAGGACCTGTATCAGAAGGAGCTAATCCCCAGGGATGCCCTGTCCACTTGACCTTGGCCCCACACACAAGATGTCATTACCCACACACAGGCTCCATGCAGGCACAAGGGGCTTATGGCATCTCCATGGCAGCACTGGAGTGACACAAAGGTAGAGTGCCCCCTCCCCTGACAGCTGCAGGGATTCAGGGAAGAGCTGTGCGGCAGCCAGCCCACACATGTGCCCACACCCCCCTGCACCTGTCCCCACCAGAATCACCTGGCGAGGCTCCAGTTGGGCCTGTGTGGGTGCGTCTGTAGCTGAGTGCTGGGTGTGTCTGGGGAGGACACTGCCTTGGGTGAGCAACTCTTCCAGGATCTGGGTGCCAGCTGCCAGTGTGACTTCCAATTTTGTACTTTTCTTAAGGGAGATCTTGTCCAAGCTAAGAGTTGAGGTGCAGTTTGATTTGAGGGTCACACAGTTGACTGAGGTTGTGGTGGAACCAAAGTGTGGGTTGGAGCTGGTTTGGGGGTGTGTGTGGGGGGGTGTTGTGTATTAGGCTTGCTAGTTTGCAGAGCAGGGTGCTGATGAACTGTGAAGAAGGGTGCTACGTGTGAGTGTCCAGCAAGAAGGTGGATTAGTCTATCTGGGGCTGTGAGGGGCTCTGTGTGGGAGTCTGAGATGTTGTTGTTTCTCCAGGAGGCCTGTGGGGAGCATCTGGGGAGTGTGTGTGTGGGAATGCAGTTGGGGCCAGCCTGTGGGGGCTGCCTTTCCCTGCCACTTCCTGGGACTGGCCCTGCCCACATTCCAGAAGGGTTAGGGGATACCCTCCCCACCCCTATCTGCTCCCAGACCTGTAACCTTGGTCCAAACCTACTCCCTTGGTCCTGGGCACCTAAGGCAGCAGTAGCTGGCTCCAGGGAGGGGCACTGAGGTGGGGGTGGAGGCCAGAATGTGCCAAGCATGAGGAGGGGGCTTCCAGAGATGGGGCGGAAGTAGTGGAGGGGCTGGTGGGACAGAGACGAGATGAAAATAGAAGGAGACCCATATAAGAACAAAGACAGGCTGAGAGACTGAGCAGGGCAAAAAGAAAGGGGATGAAGACAGAGAAAGAGAACTGGACAGAAGGAGGAGAGGTAGGCAGAGAAGGATAGAGACTAGGGGCAGACATGAGGCAGTTGGCCAAGGACACAGGATCAGGGTAGGGCAGTTGGGAAGCAGGGCCCCAGGTGACAGTGGCCCTGCCCCCACCCACAGGCGGGCTGCTCACCTGGTTAGAATTACACCAGAGGCCACTGGTCCTCTGCCTTCCCAGGGTTGGGCAGCCGTGGGTGGGACTGGAGTCAAGACTCCTGGGTTGGGCCCCAGCACCCTTGGCTTGGTAACTCCCATTCCCAATGAGCCTGGAGAGAAGGGCGGATTCCACTAGGTCCGCTGGGGGTGGCTGTGCCCCGGGGCACTTGCCCAGTGCTTGGGGTGCAGCTGTCCCTGGTGGCATACCACTCACTCCCATCTCACCAGAAGGCTCCCGGCCAGGGGCCTGGCTCCCTAATGTCTCCCCCAAGCGACCCAGGACTGACTCTGGCCTTTGGCATTTCAACACCACCATGCAGCTAGCCACCGTGACCCATTTGGCCACCCCCAGAGGACTCTGGCCTCAAGTAGAAAGCCATGACCCCAGTGACCTTCTCCTGACCACCCACAGTGGCCTCATCACCCCAGGAGCACGGCCAACTTGTGAGCCACCACCTGCACTCAGGTTCCACACCTTGGTGTCCACACCAGCCAGTCAACACCACCATCCTTGACCCTCATCTCAGTCTTAAGCTCTTTGCCTTGGACCAATGGTTTGGCTCACATCCTCCCCAACTGGCAAAGCCCACCCTGTTCACACTGACTGTTGACTTCTCTGAGTGACTTCTGGTCACAGAACTAATCTGAGCCACACCCAGGCAGCGACATGAACTTCCTGCCACCCTAACCTCTCCCTCTCGGGTCCTCAACAATCTCTGCCTGGAGGCTGGCCAGGTGCCAGGAGCTCATAGGGGCACCTTCCTCCAGTCTCCCAACTCCCTGCAGCCCTTTTGCAATCATCTCTCTGAACAAGAGGCCCCTTCAGAGGAGGCTCCAGCCCCATCTGTCCCTTCTCAGGCCTCTCCCCTAAGCCCAGGCCCAGCGTCCAGCCACTGACCATCCTGGATGTTCTGGCTTCTGCTCCCTTCACCTGATTCCTGCTTTTATGTCTCCTGGTCTTTGCACACGCCTGGGGTACCCGTCGCCTCTTCCTCTATTTGGCAAACTCCTATTCCATGGGCAAAGCCTCATTCCAAGTGTCCTCTTCCCGTTGGGTCTCCGAGGCTTCCCCAGCTTGGGGACTGCAGTACGTACTCCTCCAGCCTGGGGTCACGCACACGGGGACGTTGGGGAGGGGCCAGCAGGCAATACCTGGGCGTAGAAGAAGGGGCGCACTCGAGCGCGCCGATGCAGGGGGGTGGGGGGGGCGGGGCACGGGCGGCGCCCCCGGACCCGCCTCCTCTTCCGTCAAAAGATATCCGCCGGCGTCAAAACTGCGGCCAGAGGGGGCCTAACGCCTCCGCGCCGCACTGGCGCACTCGGCCCGGCCGGGACTCAGTGCTGCCTCGGGAAGGCAGCCCCGCCCCCCTGTTGGTGTGTGCGAGGCCCAACGCGCACCCACCGAGGAGGCGTCACCGTGGCAGGCGGGGCCTGGGCCGCCGACGCGCGGTAGGGGGCGGGCGGGGCGCCCGCTGTACGGTGACGTCAGAGCCGTGCCAAGGCGCGTTGCCCTGGAAACCACGTTTCCATCCCTGTGGTTTCCGGGGCACGCGCTCTTCCCATTCATCTTTTTCGTTGATGGGGGAGGAGGCG